TATATATATATATATATATATATATAATTTTCTATCGTTTAATCTATTTTCACAGATCTTAATTATATGAATACTTCTTATTAGAGCATTTTTCGTAGCATCGCGTTTAGAATTAGAATAAATGAGTAAATAGGAACATTTTTCGAGAGTTGGTAACACATTGTTAACGTTTACGGTGTCACGCTTCGCGTAACAGATAAAAATCAACGCAACTGGCCTAACCTAATGCCAGTAGGGTAACGTTTAACATTACTAGGGTGTCCCATAGAACATACATGAATAACTTGGCTTATCACCTGGCCCAAAATTGCTGTTAAACATATACAGCAGTAACAGCAGCAGCATAATCGTGCGTTATTCGCATTCATTCGGATTCATTCGTTCAATTCGTAATCCTATGTTCAACGAAATTGTTCACGCGATTTCACTCAACCATATCAATTCTCAAACGTGTTGAGAGAGAGAGAGAGAGAGAGAGAGATACGCACGTATCTTTTAATTACGAATAATAATTTTTAATATAAGAATAATTTATACTAGAAGAGATAATAAATAAATATATATTTAGATGTTAGTGTGCGTGTGTGTGTGTGTCTCTCTCTCTCTCTCTCTCTCTCTCTCTCTCTCTCTCTATCTATATTTGAATGATAAAAAAAGAACAGTTGGAAACAAAAGTTAGTTACGTAAATGGCATATTACGCGTAGTAGTCTTGTCAATGGTAAGCAACGATTATTCTACTGCTAGGGAGGGGTGAGGGTGGGGGAGGGGGAGGGGGAATATGTCTAATTGTTCTTTCAAATCTATAATTTTTAATCTATCTGTCATCGTACACCGTTGTCATTGCAAATTCTCATGTAATACAAAAGCTAGAGAGAAATATAGTATTCTGTATATCAATAGATACATCATTTTCCTCAGAGATATTTAAAATAAAAAAAAAAAAAAAATAAAAAAAAAATCAACTCCGATGCAAAATACCATCTTTTGTTGTCTTTGAACTCTTTGGGCCACGGTGGGATTTAAAAGTGTCCCACACCTTTTTGATACACCGTAATGCACGGTGTATTGCAATAGTTACACATGCTTATAAGATTGTATTTCGTCATATTTATGTAAAACAATTGGTTATTAACTCTTTTTTTATTATGTTTTTACATTATTACATTATGTAATACCTTTATTAATAAAAAATATATCAATTTTGTTTAATTTAACCTTTGCTTACCACCCTTCCGGGAGTAACACGCTTACCACATCCGGACGAGAAAAATTGTTATAAAAAAAAAACTATTGCATAGATTTACTTCAACATTTTTTTTGAAACTTCTTTAATACTTACTTAAAAAGACTATATTGGTTTTATAGTTTTAAATTAAATTGAAATATGTTGAAAAAATTACCAAAGTTGAGTACAATTGGGAGGAGTCTCTGGGTTCCTTTCGGACCAAGTGTGCTAAGCAAAGGTTCAAACGTAATTAAATTTCTCTATGCAACATAATAAGGGCTGTATTTTATTATCTGAAATTCTATGCCACAAAGAGTTTTAATGATTCATATGATTGTTCAAATAAGAATAATAATCATTTTCATTCGTATTAGAAGAACAAAGCTTAAGCGTATCACGGTAGGAAAATGTGTTTCATTTGGAATATACTTCCTGGGTGGTGACAATGCATGTTGAGATAAAGAAAATAGAAAGATTAAGATTAAGAATAAGAAGAAGAAGAAGAATAAGAACAAGCAAAAGAAGAAGAAGAAGAAGAAAAAAGAATGGTGGGTTTAATTAAAATGCTTAGGGGTTAGAAAGCGTGATGAATGAGATCGCTAGCGTTCTCGTACGCAGCTGCACGCGTAGTACACAACCTGGAGAACTCTATTAATTATTAGATGACACCAAATCCATTATCCGGGACGAGGAACACGACGGAGGTCCTGCAGAAGTGGTCTCATTCGGATACCATTAACGAGTGGTGACCGTCTTCTTTTGTTCCATCTTTTCTTTCATACCCTATATCTACTACTTTCTTATCTTTATCTCTATTTCCATGGCTAAGGTGCAAAACAAAGCTCATTATCCTGACTGAGAGAAAGAGAGAGAGAGAGAGAAAGAGAGAGAGAGAGAGAGAAAGGTTCACGTGGGTTGGACCCAACGTTACGACCACCTCGCTTTTAATATGCTTTTTAACTTTTCTTTTTTCTTTTGAATTTTTGTGTGTGCTATTCTACGCCTACGATAGTTCATTCCTATCTATTTATGCACGTGGATAGGCAACGATTAACAAATTTACCGTTTTACCGATTTGTTATCTTCATCATTTTTATATTTAATTAAATTAATAATCTTTTTAATATATGTAAATTACGTGTGACGTTGTTTGTCCGTAATAAACTCTTAAACTACTACACTGATTTTAATCAAATTTTGCACAATTTGTGCAGTTTCATTCAACTTGAAATATAGGATAGTTTATATCTCAATTTATTATAATCTCAATACTATTTTATTGCGTGAAGGGGCAACCCTAGTAATTTTTATATTTATAATTGTATGTTAATATATATTATATATTATATAGAGAGAGTTATAGTTATACAATATAATGTTTTTATTTTATTTTTATTATTATTATTATTATTATTATTATTTTAATTTTCATTTTACTTATGTAGTACAAATGTTGTTGCATTGGTCAAAGAAGGGATTTGTGAGAGAAAGAGAGATGGGTAAACGGTAGTCATTCATAGTGACATCTCATTAACACTATTTCCTTAATAACCCAAGATAAGAACTGGTCCTTTACCATATATATGTGTGTGTGTGTGTGTGTGTGTATGTGTATCTCTGAAGAATACTCGAAAGTAAACGTGTCCATCTCATTTTCTTGTATACTCGGTGCCTCTTTTGAACTTTCTTGTATTTTGTTTGTTTCTTTATTTGACTTTTTCACTGTCATCCTCACCCTTTCTCTCTCGGTCGTTAAAATATACGTATATATGCGTAAGAATAATAATTATTCCTAAGTATAGGCCTAAGAACGTCGGACAAGAGCAACGCCGGTGTCTTTGACACGGTTGTTCCGTCTTTTAGTATCATTTTAGTTGAAAAAAAGAAAAGCGTGTCTCTCGTTCTACCAGATTCCCATGTCGAGAGAGAGAGAGAGAGAGAGAGAGAGAGAGAGCCGCTTCAATTAAACAAACAGTTTGAAAAGGTAGTATCCGTAAAATTTGATTTTGCATATTAATTTTGGTCAAGCGATCTGTGGTGGCAATGGTGGTGGTAGTAGTGGTGGTTGCATCAGGGATACAATTTTATTTTCTTTTATTTTGTTATTTTGTTATTTTTCAATTTTCATTCTACCGAATGAACTTTAATAAGGCGAATGATTCGATAATGTTCCGCGAATTATTTTTATTTCTTCTGAATATTGTATTATTATGTGGTTCGGTGGTTGCAAAGGTGGTGGTGTTGGTTGCACCAGGGATACAATTATTCTATTTTCTTTTATTTTGTTATTTTCAATTTTTATTCTATCGAACGAACTTTATTAACGCAAATGATTCGATAATGTTCCGTAAATTATTTTTATTTTTTTTTGAATATTATATTAATTATAGAATAATTATGTGGTTCAGCAGTAAACGTCGTTACCACTAATCTACGGTAAAATAAATCAACTTATATATATATATATATATATATATATATATATATATATAT